GGGCGGAGTGGCTGCCGGCGGACGTGCGGGCGATGGTGAAGCCGCGAGAGAAGCCCGTGCGCGTGGTGGTCGTCTTCCCGCTGGACTGCGAGATCGACCTGCTCGAGGTTCGGCTCATGGAGACCTACGTACGTAACCCACTTTTGTTGTATGTTCGCTCGCCCGTGAGTTGCTCACATCGTGTGTGTCGTGTGTCGTGTGTCGTGTGTCGTGTGTCGTGTGTGTCGTGTGTGTCGTGTGTGTCGTGTGTCGCGTGTGTCACGAGTGCAGGATGTGGTGGACTACTTTGTCATCGGGGAGTCAAACTACTCCCAGGTGGGTGGCGCCAAGCGCCTCCACTTTTGGGAGTCGCGCCACCGGTTCGAGCGGTTCTGGCCCAAGATCCGCCACATGGCCTTCTGGGAGGGTCCGTCGCCCCAACCTCCCCGCCTCAAACACCACTGGCTGCATTTTAAATTTCTTAATGATTGCACGGAATTGGTTGGTTGGTTGGACACACAGGTTTTAAGGATGCGACCCAAATCAAGAAGCACGACTGGACCAACGAAGATCAGGAGCGGGGCTTGCTGGGCCAGGGTCTGCGCGGACTCGACGACGATGACATCATCCTCCTCACCGACGCGGACGAGATCGCCAACGCCGACGCCCTCAATTTCTATCGACACTTCACCGGTGCTCCACAATCTTCCCAATCTTTTTGTGGGTCCATTCCTGAGCTCAGTCACCTCATCACACCACCGCACACGCACACGCACCACCGCACACGCCCTCAACAACAACAACTACTACTACTACATCAGGGTATCCACCGGGCGGTCGCATCTTCGTGCGATGGTCGCAGATGGGCTTCTTCTGGAAGGTACCCGCCGTGTGGACTCCGCAAGCCTGCATGACCACCTACGCCATGTACGCGCACCACCTTCTGCCGCAGCAGTGACGACACGACACGACACGACACGACACGACCAACGACACGACCAACGACACGACGTCGGTTGGCTACAGTGAGTGTTGAAGCAGTGTTGACCTGTTATGCCCCCCCCCCCGCCCAAACCAGAGCCAAGCAGATTGGAACGAGCGGCATCCGTAAGGCCAGATTCAAACTTGAGCATGGCCGCGACTGGTGGACCTTGGGCAGTGCCTCGGTCGTTGCTGGATGGCACTGCAGCTGGTGCGTGCGGTGGCAATGAAGCCTGCTTTGTGGCCGCCACTCGCGGCAAGCCCTACCTTTTACTGATGACATGCTTGCGGCGCGCGAGCAGGTGCTTCCCGCCCCAGGACTATATGAACAAGTTCCGCAACGTGATCGAGGCCTGGTGGTTCCACGCCGATGAGCTGAAGGACTTCACCCCGGAGGTCTTTGCCAACGCACGCTACAAGGGCACCAAGCCCATTGCCGCCGACGTCGTGGTGCAAGACCACGAGGTATCGTATCCTCCCTCGCTACTCAAGTTCAACTACGTCTGACTCACGGGTTTGGTGCTGCCTCCGTCGCACACAACGCATAACATGACACACGCCACGACACACGCCACGACACACACCACGACACACACGACACACAGGGCATTCCCAAGGCGGCCTTGGAGAACTTCAAGTATCTCTCCGACAGGGACGTGTTCCCCAAGTGTGGCTGGTGTTTGATGCCGAAGGACCCAACATCCCACCCCGTGGGCTCCATCAAGCCGGAGGACCCGCTCCCGGAGGACATGGTGAAGCAGAGCCAACAGTGCTCGAACGACGTGACCCTCGCCTTCACCCCCTACCGCTAATTATTTAAATGTGAATATTCCAAGCAACACACTCTTGAAAATGAAGCAAACATGTGTAGCAGATGCCATTGACAACATGTGGATGATGTTGTTTGTCTTCAGTTGCATTTGGATTGAAAATGAAGCAAGCATGTGATGATGTTGTATTGTGTGTCTTTTGCGAGGGTGGATTGGGTGCTACGAGGGTGGATTGGGTGCTACGAGGGGCGGGGTTCAATGAGGAGGGAGACCTCCCAGAGGAGCTTGTCGTTGTAGGGGACCACGCGCTGCTGCACCCACTCCCGCTTATCCCGTCGGGAGCCCTCGCCCTCCCACTCCTCGACCTGCGCGGCATCGCTGCGCGTGAAGCCGGCAGCACTGCTCTCGGGCGCCTTGCACGGGTCGTCGCGCTCTGCATTGACCTCGTTGTCGTCATCGGGCGCCACCTTCTCTTTGTGCCTGCCCACAATCTCGCTCTTGCTCTTCGAAGCTTTGCTGTTGTCGCCGCTTCCGGTCTTGTTGTGCTTCTTCTTCTGCTTGCCCGCCGCCGCGGAGGCTTCTTGGTGGTCGGGCGTCGACTCGGCCGAGGAGAAGATGCCGAAGCCGCGCACGGGGATGTCCTCGACCCACTCGCGGTAGGGCTCGATCGGCACAAAGTTGTACTTGTGCTCCCGGAACTTGATCATCTCCGAAAAGATAGACGCCTGCCGGCACACACTACCATCAGCCTACCGCACACACCACCGCACACGCACGACGCGCACGATACACACGACACGTACCTCGATCTTCTTCTTGGCGAAGTTGACCATGCCGTTGGCGATGACCTCGGGCACCTGCGAGAGGTGTTCGAGGTCGATGATGTAGATGGCGATGTAGGGAATGAGGCCGTAGACCTCGTCGTCCGACCCACTCTTCCGCTTGTCGCCGCCGCCGCCCGCCGCGTCGTTCTCCCGACTGAGCGCCACCGTGTAGCGCTCGGCCTTGTTGAAGTTCTCGGTCCACGCCTCCCGCTGCATCTCCCGCAGCAGCTTGTACGAATTGTCGGGCGAAATGAGGCTGCTGAGCTCATCGAACACCTTCTTCTCCTTCTTGTTCACCAACTGCGTGGTCGCGTAAAATAGTGAGGGGCGTGAGAGTGGTCAGCAAGGCGGCGGCAGCGACGACGACGAGTTCAAGTGGTCAAGGGGCAGGAGGGTGAACGGTACCTTCCATGTCTTCTTCAAGCGGTTGATGGAACTGTGGTTGAGTCCGCACAGGATGGCCGACATGTCGAAAAAGTTGTTGTACCCGAAGCAGGCCTGCACATGAAGGTAAAGTGAGACACCGCCGCACATCTTGCATCCTTCATCACCGACTCGAATGCGAACCTTGGCCAAGTTGACGAGCTTGCGCAGGGCAGCCACGCGCTGAGGTAGCGCGCGGTAGCTGAGCACCTCGCGGGTGGCCCACTTGGCAACCTGCCAACGAATCGAGTCAGACCGGGCCACAAGGAAGCTCGAAACAGGAAGAATGGCGCACACGCGCGCGTACCTCGTCCCAGCGATTGAGAAAGTTGAAGATGCCGAGGAAGGAAGAGGTGATGGCCATCTTCCTGTGCGCGTGCATGTAGCCCACAAGTCGAGTCGGAGTTATTTGCCTGGGGTTGAGGAATGATAGGAGTTAAAAAACGAACAAGCCTTGTGCACGTGGCCAATGGCGCCAGCACCACTGGTGGCGCGCGTACCGGTAGAGGGACTCGGAGTAGAGCGTGAACTGCCGCGCGAGTTCGATGGCGTCGATGTCCATCATCTCCAGCTTGTCCGCCGTCGGGATACGGTTGGGAATGCGCGGAATGGGCGGATTGGACGCCAACCGGCCCTGAAGAATGAAGCGACAAGAGCGAAAGCGAAAGCGACGGAGAAAAACGAGAGCGAGAGTGAGTCGGAGTGCTCTGTGGCCTGCTGAGCGGGGGAGGGGATGGAGGTACCCCGCGAGAGAAGCGGTAGAAGAGGTCACTGGCGACCTTGAAGACCGATCGGCGATCCCGCTTCTCGAGCGAGCGGATGATGTTCTGTTGAATCATTTTGTTGCCCAGCGCGATCGCCTCCGCCGTCGAGTCCATCCCCAGCTTGTCGCGACACCAATCCACGAAATCCATGCCTGCACAGTTCGCGCATGACAGTTGATGCCCAAGCGCCATCAGAAGAAGCAGAAAGAAAGAGATCGAAGACTGGTCGACGAATGACAGGGCCACGCGCGTGTGCGTACCGTTGAAAGAACGAACGTATTTCTTGCCCTTCTTGTGGAAGATCTGAGTGGCGACGCCCATGTCCTCGCGTTCCATGACCACCAGGATCTCCGAAAGCGGTGAGTTCTTGTCTACCAACACCTCGCGCGCCTGTCGTTGGCGGAAGAATGAGTGAGCTGTCGACTGGGCACAAGCAACTGGCCGCTCAACTGGGGTGAAGTACTCGAGGCGTGGGTGAGGTAGTACCTGCTCAAGCACGAGAGACTTGATGGCCTCGTAGTGCTGCTCGTTGGGCTGATGCACGCGCAGGGTGTTCTCCACGAAGTTCAGCATGCGGGCCAGCAAGCGCGGGTCGTCCTCGAAGTCGTAGAAGTGGTTGGCCAGCCACTTGCGCATGACGTTGAGCACGCGCAGCTGCAGGAGCGGCAGGTACTTGTCGTAGAGGAGGTGCGACGACGAAGAACCCGATGACATCGACGTAGAGACCTCGGCCGCCGATTGCGAGATGGACAGCTCCATGTCCTTGGCCACCGACGGCGGTGGCAAGTTGTAGCGGTCGATCAGGAAATCGAGCAGCTCTTGCGGCTGGGCGAAGGAGCGGTACGAACACAAGAAGTCGTCCACGAACTGTCGGTCTGTTTTTCGGGGTCAGTGGGTCATGATCAGCACAGAACTTGACTGGTGGGTGGCACCTTGGACCTCGCAGTCGGCGAGGTGCGACATGAGTCGATCGACCTCACCGCCGATAATGGCCTCCTTGCCCTCTTTGAGGACCACCTTGAGGCCTCGCTTCCAGTCGTCGGCCAGCAGCGATGGAGCTTCGCCCTGTGTTCGTAAGAGTTCATTAGCATCAGAGCAGCACTAGAGTAATGGCTACCGTTGAAGACATAGAGCCCTACCATGTCCCGATCTGTTCGCTCCTTGCGCTGACCCTCCTTCTGCAGGAGCGACTTGAATGCAAACGAGTCGTGGAGTGGTGCGCCGGGGTAGGGAGCGTCGGTCGCATCGGACCGCTGGCTGGCACCCGCCACCGCGGCCGCGGCGCAGATGGCGGCGCCCACGATTCCACCATTGGGCGGCAGGCGGAGCTGCGCTGCGTCGTCGATGAACCCCGAATCGGCCGCCGCCGTGACGGTGGTGGTTTCCCTGCCGCTGTCGGGGCTGACCCAGTCGCCCTCCCTTCGGGGGGTGAGTTCGCCGACCGGCTCGCTCTCGGCCGGTTCCCGCCTCCCGACACCACCAAGGTTGACCGGCGGCACGGGCAGAAGTGGTCGTCGTTGATGCCTCGGGGACTGCGGCGAGCCGGACAGTGCCTGCGGTGATTGATGGTGACGCGGCGGCAAAGTCGAGGTGAGCAACTGACCGAACGGCACGTCCTCCGCTTTGTAGCCGCCCCGTGGCGTTTGCACTATCGTTTTGAAGCTCCGGAACTCATTGAAAAGCTCGTAGTCTGCGATGCATTGGAGTTGTGGGTTGAGGTTGGTGAGCATCAAGTCAATCATTCACTCAAAGCGAAGCCAATGGGCGATGACCTGTGGTGCCATCGGTGACGTACCAGAGGCCTGCTGGAGCTTCCACCTGGGGGAGCGCTCGACCTGCCCTTGTTTGTGCCGGTCGCGCCATTCGCTGGAATGCCAGTACAGCGGCATGTACTCGTATGATCGTGCGCCGCCCCTACACGCGCCACCAACACGAACGATGAGTCAACCAGCGACTTTTCGCGCTTCATCAACCGATCGAGCGTACCACTCTGGAGCCGCCTGCACGAGCATGGAGTTGCGGTGAAGAACCATTTCGGCCGTCCACGCCCGCCTGTCCCTGTGATTGGACCAGAGTCGTCGAGTCAGGAACAGGAAACCATCGGACCAGTGCGAGTGAACGGAAGAAACTAACATGAGTCCCTTGCGGGGAGAGATCAGGCCGCTGCTGAGCCGCTGCTGTTCGCGGAAGAGACTGTTCCTGTAGAAGTTGTAGAAGCGGCCCTTGCTGTCTTCCTTCTCCTTCCCCTTCTCCTTCTCCTTTGTACACCCGGGTCTGCTCTGTCCGCCTTCGTCATCCTCGCTTTCGTTTTCACTTTCGCTTTCGCTGTCGCTTTCCGTTGAGTCCTCTTCCTCTTCGCTTCCGACCTGCTCTCCCTGCTCGCTGGCTTCTCTGTCGCTGTCGTCCTCCCAGCTGGCGTCGTCGCTCGATGACGCCGAAGAGTAGTCCACGTCGCTGTCCTCTTCCTCTTCCCGCCGGCCGTCGTCGGCGTTGCCCCCGTCGTCGCTCTGGTAGCCGCTCTCCACGACTGCGCCGTGCTTTCGTCGCTTCTCCCAGCCCATCTTACACTGGCGCTCGTCCTCGCAGGGACTGAACTCTCGCGTTGACGTTGCGTCGCTCTCCTGATCAGTCGTCGATGAGTCTTCATCATCGTCATCATCACCGTCACTCGAGCAGTCCTCGATGTCGCCTTCCTCCTCCGTTTCGCTGTCCTCCATCACACCCGTCGCGAAGCTCCTTCTCCTTCGCTTCGCATGCGCAGTCGCTGCCGACGTCCGGGCGAGCTCCGCCTTCGCCAGCGGTCGCGTCGACGCTCTCCTCCGCTCCTGCGCGGGGCCAGCACGCACGCCGGTCGTTCCGCTCTCGGCACTCCGCAGCGCTTCCGCTATCTTGGCGTCGCGAATTCTTTGAATTTCGAGGCCCAGCTGGTCGGCCGTTGCTTGGCCCTTTCGCGCGCTTTTTCTTCGGCGTGTAGCCTCGCCGCTGCCGCCTTGGGCGGTAGAAGACTGAAGATGACGATGATGGTGATGGTGACGATCGTGTGTGCTGGTCTCCTTGTCCCTCCTGCTCTTCTTCTTTTTCGTGTGGGGTGAACGTCGTTCCTGGGAGTGCTTCATGCGGTCGAGGTGGCTTTGTAGAAGGGCGCGAAGTCGCATGTTTTCCTGCTCGAAGGAGCGCAGCGAGGAACGACGGGACCTCCCTGGCGAGGAGGGAGATGAGGAGGATGACCCCTTGGAGCGAGCCCGTGTGGGCAAGGCTCCTCCTCGTAGCAGAGGAGATTCGTCCAGATCGGGAGATCGTCTTCGTTGTGCTCGGTATTCTTCCTCTTCCACTTCCTCTCCTCCCTCTGCTTCGGCAACCACCTCCCGCTTCGCCCCGTGGAAGAATTCATCCAACGCCGAATTTGATCCGTTTATCTTGTGCATCTGCGCCAGCCTCATCTTCTTGTTGCAGCCCTCGGCGACGTCCGTTCCCGCCTGCAAACGAAACAGAACAACAGGAGGTCAGTCAGATTCACCTTCACTTGGGCCTTCTTCCTTTCTGCACCAGGAGGTACCAGCATACGAGGGCAGTCTCGCTGCCAAGATGAACGAGGGGAGACCAAGTAAGAGAAGGAGAGCAGAGAGGACGGAGAGACAACAGGGAAAGGATGGATTTGTCCAAACCCAGCGACGACCAGATACCGCCCACAAATAAGAGGCGCTCGTAATTCCTAGCTCTTCTTCGCTCTTTGCCTTTTCTCTCTTTGCTGTTGGGCTGGGGCCGAAGGAGAAGGGGTAGAAGGAGGAAGAGGCTGAGCTGCAAGTGGTACCTTCACGTGGAGGGCACCACCCGGGATGAGTCGTCTAGCAGAGATGAGGTGGTGTGAAATGAAATGCTCTTTATATAGGGCTTGCAAAGGGCGGGCCTTAGGCGGTACAGTGCTGCGTGGGGAAGCGGTTGAGTGGTGAGGCGGTGCTCTCGCCTGGCGCTGTTGACAAGAATGTTGCGCCCAGGCCACAAGAGGAAAAGACGTAGAAAAGAGGCGGCGATGCTCCGGGACCTTGTGTTGTTGGAGCACCAACGTGAACACCTGGTGTTGGCAGGCTGCCCAAACCGCACGAAGTCAAAACCAATTTTTTATTCGAAGAATTGCAGCCATAATTGTTGGCCTTTTTATTTTTTTATATAAAGTGGACGAAGATGGACGGGAGCGATGACGATGAGTTCAATGGCTTCGAGGAAGGCGAAGAGGAGGAGGAGGATTTCGACTTTGGGGATGGAGATGGCGATGACGACAACGATGATGAACCCCTCCCATCGCTATCCATGGCAGACGATGATGCCATTAGCAGTAAAGGAAGCATGAGGGCCTATAAAATAATTGCCTTTGAGGACATTATCTCGAGCCAGCAGACCAAGGCTGAGAAGATACACGAAGTGCTCGTACGCCCCCACATCTAATTTTACTCTGAATTGAGCGACTAGATGCGTGGCTTGATACGTCTGTTTGACTCTTTGCCGCCGCTGCAGGGCATCGCCAACTCATTTGCACGCATCCTGTTGGTGCACTACGGCTGGGACGAGGAAAGGTTGCTGAGCGACTTCTTCGAGCGCGGCATCGACTACGTGTACAAGAGCGCGGGCGTGGTGGCCCCGAAGGAGAACGAAGACGAAGAGGCCGGTGCCGACAAGGCCCCAAGCGACGCTGGGGACGACGACCTCAACCCTAGCGCTAAGTGTCGCAAGAAGGAGGTCGCCTGCGAAAGGTATCGTCGTGTCGTGTGTCGTGTGTGTTTGTGGTCAGTTGCTAACGCTCGCCACGCAGCTGCATGGACGACGTGCTCGAGGACAATACGACCAAGCTCGCTTGTGGTCACAGGTTCTGCAACGACTGCTACCAGGTACATAGCACCGCGCCGAGCATGCACCCGCGGCCCGCGCCTCGCGAAGTCCACTCATGTTGAGCTCACTTTCGCCGTTCGCGTCGTGCTGGTCGTCTAGACCTATGTAGCGATGAAGATCAACGAGGGACAAGCCAACGCCATCACCTGCATGGCCTACAAATGCAACACAAAGCTCGACGAAACGTTGATCCCCAAGTACGCTCCTCCGCCCCAGGCGTTTTGACAAGCTTCTCTTCGGCCCGGTGCGAGCGACTCACCGTGGTGGCGCGTGCAGGCTGGTCGACGACCCACTAGTTTTGAAGAAGTACCACAAAACCTTGGCCGAGTCCTATGTAAATGATAATCCCCTGGTCAAGTGGTGCACATCCACACCGCACTGTGGCAACGCCGGTACGCGACTTCCCCGTTCTCGTTCGTTGATGCCTCTGACGCTATGCTCCCTATCCCTGCCCAGTCGAGGTGTTGTGGGGCAAGCAGGTTGAGGTGCAGTGCTGCTGTCACCATCGGTACGCGCTTGTGTGCCACCACTTCGTTTCAGCTGTCGTGTCTGCGGGGGCGTGGCTCACGTGAGCGTGTTCAGGTTTTGCTTCAACTGCCTGAAGGACCCGCACAGCCCGGTGCCGTGCAAGATGGTGAACCAGTGGATGGAAAAGTGCGAGGGCGAGGGAGAGACATTCAAGTACATATCGGCCAACACCAAGGACTGTCCCAAGTGTGGCTCGCCAGTGGAGAAGAACGGAGGCTGCAACCTAATGACTTGTCGTTGCGGCACCTTCTTTTGCTGGGTACGCGTGTTTACTTCTTCTTTTTTCCCCCCTCGTCGTTGCGTTTTCATGTCATGACGAACTTCTCTCTCGCGTCTTCTTCTTCTTCTTCACAGCTGTGCGGCGCGCAAACGGGTTCTGCGCACACGTGGGAGAAGATCGCGGGCCACTCGTGCGGCAAGTACAAGGAGGAAAAGGAAAAGAACGCCGACGACGCCCGCGTGTCTCTGCAGCGATACATGCACTACTACGAACGGTACATCGCATCACACGTCAGACGCTATCACGCCTCGCAGTAGAGCTGGACTAGTCCAATAACGTTTCTCTGCTCCCCCCCGGTGGCTAGGTACAAGGCGCACAACGACTCTTCGATGCTGGAGGCGCAGATGCGGGTGCAACTGCTCGACAAGGTGTCGGTGCTGCTTGAAAAGACCGGCACGTTCACCTCCTACGAGGAGAAGTGGCTGGCGCGCGCTCTGGACATGCTCTTCGAGGTACTGTCTTCTGGCCCCATTGTCGTTTGGGGGTTGGTCGGGGAAGAAGAACGTGAAAACTCAGCTGACTTTTCACCCACGACGTTGCTTGCGTAGTGTCGCCGAGTACTGAAGTGGTCGTACGTGCTGGCCTACTTCATCTTTGGGCCGGAGGGCAAGAAGATGGTCGACCAGGAAGCCAACAAGGCGCACAAGATGCTCTTTGAAGACCACCAAGAACAGGTAGGTGTCGCACCGCAGCCACTCTCCCGAGCCTCGGCGTGAGCGCAGTGGTCCGCGTACTTACCCTCACAATTCTCACTCAGCTGGAGATCACCACCGAGATCCTTTCCAAAAAGCTGGAGACTCCACCGCAAGAAATGACTTCTGGTGCGTTTCGGCGTGAGCCCAGGCGCGCGTCTGCAGTGCACTGACTTATGGTCACTATGGCGGTGTTGTGCTGTGCAGATCTGCACCTGGACATCATGAATATCACGGTGCTGGCGGAGAGGCGGTGCAAGGGCCTCTTCGACATCATTCTGAGCGACATCGTGGCCAAGGGAGCCTACGGCTTCGATGTCTCCGGCTACTCCTTCTCCATGGAACTCAGTTCCTTACATTGTACGCCGCTCCGCCACATTCACGTCAGCTGCTCTTTCTAATCCGTTTCGTGTCGTTGGTCGTGTTGTGTCGTTTCGCCCGCGTACAGCGATCCAGCAGCGGCTGGGCACGCCAAAAGAGGACGAAAGCGCACCAGACGACAAGGCCAAAGGCAAGGAAAAGGAGAAAGAGAAGGAGAAGGAAAGGGAGAAAGAAATGGAGAACGCGGAAGTGAAGGCGGCGCCTGCAGTAGGGTTGAACAGCCCGGTGGCCAAGATCGCACGCAAGCGCGACGACAACGCTCGCGATCGACTGTGGGAAGCGCGACGAGCCCACCGGGGGCAGGCCGTCGCGGCAGTCCCTCAAGAAGTGGCGGTCGAGCCGAAGAAGGACAAGCGGAAGAAGAAGGAGACGAAGGAGGAAGAGGAGATGTTGAAGAAGGCGATGGAGCTTTCTGAAGAGGAGATGATGCGTAAGGCCATCGAGGCCAGCGAGAAAGAGCAACTCGGGATGGTAACTTACGAGACGTGGCTCGATGGAGAGATGGATGTCTTCGTGGAGAAAGGGAAGAACGAGGAGGACGAAGAAGACGAAGAAGACAAGGACGACGACAAGACGACGACGACGACGAAGATAAAGACGAAGACGAAGCGCGCCGCTGCCGCCAACAAGAAGCGAAAGCGAACGGAGACGAAGGGCCAAGGCGAGCAGCCGGACGCCGAACAGGAACTGCTGCGGCAAGCCATCGCCGCCAGCATCAACGAGTTCTAACGCTTTGGGCGCCCAATGTACAGGAAATAAACGCCGCCCAGGCGTTGCCGTCTCGCGCTCGGACAACGTGGCTGCGGCTTATTCACAGCTTGCCATTGTCGTACGTCACCTTCTCTTGCCAGGTTCCATTTTGGTCGCGACCGCTGTTGGGAGTGAAAGCAACCGTCCGGTTGGCCCTCCCAAACGATTTCCGAAACGTGCGCCAAAGCGGTCAGCTTCGGAGATATTTAAATTTGTCTCCAGTACCAAATATGGAGGCCTTTTTCCATTTCCATTTCCATCCCTGGCTTGCCTGAAAAGCGAAGCTACAGGCAGGTATGCCTCTTCTTCACCGTGAACCAGGAGCAAGTGCCCTGACGAGAAGGGGTTCGTGACGGCATTGGATTCGAAGGTGATGGGCTGGTACTAACCGTCCTTCCCTTCCTGCCTCCAGTACTGCGCAGAATGAGGAAGTCTTCCCTGCTGGCGATCGCCCTCCTACTTGTAGGGGTGGCCGTGATGTTCGGTGGCAGCGCTGCCGCTGTTGATATGCCCTGGCTTACCGTAAAACAGGGCAACAACCGATACTTCATCGCCGACGACCAGGGCCGAGAGGTACAACTGCTGTCCCCTCATTAAACACCCCCCCCCCCGCCCGAAAGCTGACGCAGCGTTCACCACAACGCAGATTATCCTGCGTGGTGTGAACGTAGAGTTTTTGCAGCGCGAGCTCGACGACGCTCGTCGCCCCATTGGTACCAATGGCTCTCACCTTGACCTCCCCTCCTGCCTTCTCTTCGTCTGACGTCCTTGCCTGCCCACTCGCTGTATCTATTTCCCAAGATCCGGCTGACTACGACGGCAAGTGCCCCGTGAACAAGGAGGAGTACTACGAACCGCCGGTGTGCCAGGTGGACGCGGGAAAGGGCATGTACGGGCAGCCCACCGACTTCACGTCAAGCAACGACTTTGCTCAGATGCGGGTACCGACCAAGCCATTCACCCCGATGCCGTAGTGAGGTCTCTGATCCTTTGTTACGCCCTGGCAGGCCCTCGGTTTCAATTTGGTTCGGCTCTGCCTCAACTGGAACCTGTTCGAGCCGCAGCCTGGCAACTACAGCCAGCAGTACCTCGACCGTATTGCCCAGGTACACTGTCTGCGCTCGGCTGCTTTGCGTTTTCAATGCCTTGAAGCTGTTCACTCATTCACTCTATGCATGCGCACTTAAGGTGGTGGGCTGGGCCAAGGAGCAGGGCATCTACATCCTCCTGGACATGCACCAGGACCAGTACTCTCGGTTCATCTTCGCCGACCAGGCCTTCAACTATCCTCCCTACCTGCAGCCGCAGGACGGGCAGGACGGCGCTCCCGCCTGGGCCGTCGTGACCGACGGCTGGCCCGCCGTGGCCATTGACGGGCAGGGACCGCTCAACCTGGCTGTCATGGCCGCAGTCGACAACTTTTACAACAACCTCGTCATCCCGGGCCTTCCTCAGGGGGACGCCCCGGGACCTGGCCTGCAGGACCACTTCATCGGCGCCATAGCCTTCCTGGCCAAGAGGTACAGACTGTTCCTTATTCTGATTCCTCTCTCTCCCCCTTGTTCATCACTGTGTGTGTGTGCAGATTCAAGAACGAGAGCACGGTGGTGGGCTACGAGATCATGAACGAGCCGCCTCCGGGCTTCAACTTCGATCTGATCGATTTCTCGAGCTCGCTCCTCTACCCTCTGTATACGCGGGTCATTCAGGCCCTCACTGGCGTACGCGACGGCCTCCCCACGTGCCCTTCGTCTCAGCCCAACTCGCGCGACTGCGCTTACCCGTCGCTGGGCGTGGAGGACAACCGCCACCTCATCTTCTTCGAGCCGATGGCCATCCGCAACCAGTTCGACGTCTCCTTCCAGAACTCGGCGCCATTCACGTCGTACCCCAACCTCGTGTTCTCGCCGCACGTCTACACCCACATTTTCACCATTGACCAGGTGCTGGGTCTGCCGGCCACCAACAACATCTACCCGCCGAGCTACGACTTTGCCTTCACCACTGCGCGCTACGAGGCCAACGCGATGAAGGCCGCTGTGCTGGTGACCGAGTTCGGAGGCGCGGCGCATCTGGACAACATCACCCTGATCGGTACCATCGAGGCGCAGGAGAGGAGCCTTGTACGGCCTCACGCCCTATGTACTCTCGTTTTCATTCATTGGAGTGCCGCTCATCAGAAAGCGTTGCGGTTGTTCACAGGTAGGTTCGACGATGTGGAGCTGGAAGAGCAACACAGGGACCGACGTATCGGGAGAGAAGGACATGTGGTCGGTCTACGCCGGGCCTGTCATGATCAACGGCACAATGCAACCGAGCGGCCCGATCTTGAAGGCGCGAGAGCGCTTCATCTCGCGCATCTACCCGCGAGCCGTGTGGGGCGAGCTGCTCGACTTCTCATACGACACCGACTACCAGAGCTTCACTATGAACGCCGTGGCGGACGCTGCGGGAACCACCCTGATCTACATCCCGCCGATCGTGAGCGGAACTGTCAAGATCGCCGCCAGCGGGGCGGCAGAGGAGCACGACATGACCGTCAACCCCGACAACAGCAGGTTGGTCAACATCCGCATCAGGGGCGCGGGAGCCTATCAGGTCACTATCGTACCTGTGGGTGATGCTGTTCACCCGCTGAAGGCCAAGGGTACTGTGCCTCTTCTGATGGTGCGCCTACTCTGCGCAGCAGCTGCTAACACAACGTGCTGGAAATGAATGCAGCCCGCCGCCCGCCCGCCACAGAGATGAGTGTGGAGGGAGCCAGCTTGATGAAGGAGGTGATGGGAGCCTACGCCTCCTTGGCGAAGGTCCTGGCTTCGATCAAGGGCCAGCCTTCCAAGCTTCCCGTACTCCTGGACTTCCTTGCGTCTGATGCGATGAAGCCCCTTTGAAGGCAATGAAATCGCCTGCACGACGCCGTCTTTCTCTTCACAAACACGCAACTAATTGGGAATTGTTATTTTCTCCACCTTTAATTTATTTTCCTTTTCTCTTTGCCCTCGATTTGATTCAATCCTCAAAAGATGTCGAACGGAGTGGTTGCGAATGCCATCTGGCGGAGGTCTATGGCCGGAGGAATGAGGGGCTTCGCGTCCGCTAGCTTGCCCATGCGCGCCGGACAAAGAGTGCGACTCATGCAGGGTGTCGGTCGAAGCGGCAACGAAGATGGCGCCTTCCACGATGCTCCTGACTGGGAATACGCTGGTAAATCTCATGATCCCCCCCCCCATCCCCTCAATTTATGCCGCTTTTCCGTCTCACCTAAAAACGTGCGATTAGATGGAACACCAGCTCCCCCGTCGCGGAAGCAGATTGTTTGGATGACCAAGCGACAGGAGACGGAAGAGCGAATCCAGCGCCTGCGTGAGGAGGTGATGGAGATGGAACAGAAGGAGCTCGAGCGCCAGTCCTTTTACAAAGACGAGTAAACAACGAAACGGCCCTCTTCTTCACGCAGCCCAACTTGCCCAACGCGTTTATTCCTAAAATTCTTTGTGGTTAGCGTTCGCGCCAAAAGCTTGGCGTTGCATCTTCTTGCTTTAATTGAGGAATGGAGAAGGACGTGCAGACTCTGACTGCCCGTTTCGAGGAGGGGGAATGCTTTTACGCAATCCTCAGCGTGAAGAAGGATGCATCTGCCACTGAAATCAGGAAGGCCTACCACAAATTGGCCCTCCAGTTCCACCCGGACCGAGTGCAAGGTGACGACGCGGCCCGGGCCAGGGCCAAGAGCGAGTTCCAGACCCTGGGGCGCATCTACGAGACCCTCAGCGTGGAAGAGAAGCGAAAGTTCTACGATGAGACGGGCTCGATAGAGCATGACGATTTCCTATCGAGTAGCGAGGACAAGAATTGGGATGAGTACTGGCGCCTGCTCTTCAAGAAGGTCACCTCCGATGACATCGAGAACTACGCCAAGTCGTTTAAGGGTTCAGAGCTAGAGGCTTCCGACGTCAAGCAGGCCTATGTCGATCACGAGGGTACATTCCCGACAGCAGCGGACAGCATTCTTTCGAGCCTGCCAAGCTCACGCCCTCTATGTCGCTTGCAGGCAACATGGAGCGCATCATTGACACGGTGGTGCTGAGCAGCTGGGACGACGAAGACCGGTTCCGTGCCATCATCGACGCTGCGATCAAGGCGGGCGAGGTACCGACCTTTGACGAGTACGAGGCGAGCGCGAAGAAGAAGCAGAACAAGAAGCGCACCACCGCCGCGGCCAGACGGCGCAAGGCGCAGGAGGAGGAAGAGGCCAAGGAGGCCGAGGAGCTCGCGCAGAAGATGGGCCTCAGGGCGGGCGGCAAGAAGGGCGGCGATGACGCGCTCAAGCAGATGATCCTTCAGAACAAGGGCAAGTCAGAGACACGCTTCAACTCGGTCATCGCCAAGTACGATTCCTCCACACTCTCCAGCTGCTGCTCTGGTCTGACGCAATCGTCCTCTCTGTTGCGCGCAGCTTGGAGGCCAAGTACGGCGGCAAGAAGGAGACCAAGAAGAAGGGAGCCGGACGCAAAGGCAAGAAGCAACAACAACAAGAAGAGGAGGAACTCAACGACGAGCCAACAGAAGAGGAATTCCTTGCGCTGCGGAAGAAGCTCGAGGAGAAGAAGAGCAAACCGGAAGAGAAGGCGAGAAGCCGAAAGAAGAGGAGGATCGAGCAGGACGACGAGGAGGTGGAACTCCACGATGACAACGAGCCAACGGAAGAGGAGTTTGAACAGGCGAGGAAGCGGCTGGAGGAGCAGAGGAAGACCAAGGCAGCAGCCGCCACCAAGAAGACCACCCAGCGCGGCGCCGCCAAGACCGGCGCCAGGGGTGGTAAAGGCAGGAAGTAAGTCAAACGAAGATGCAGCAGCCACACCTAAAAGGGTACTTTTTGGCCATTTGGAATGCACGGAATGTGCGTTGCGTTCTGTTCGGCCCGCGGCGGCACGTTCCTAAAAGGGGTGAAGGCCAAGGAAAAGAAGGAAATGCTCTTTTAGACAGAAGAGGAGAAAGAAGCTGCTCCTCACCAGTCCCCCCCAACGGGTTTGTGCTTGCTCCTTCTTGTGCATTGTTTATCACCCCGAACCAAGCTGCATACAGTGCAAAGCACAACCTTCCACAGCCCAGTACTGTTTAACTCCTATTAATCGAAGGATTAGTTTGTTGGATTACGATGGGCAACCAAGCACCGACAGCAACGGGAAAGGTGGAGGTTACGGGCCTGTGGGTGTACCCCGTCAAGTCGTGCCGCGGCATCGCGCTGGACGAAGCCCGCCTCAACAAGTACGGTTTCGAACACGACCGCGAGTGGATGGTCGTGACCGAGCAGGCGCGCGACAACCTGCGCTCCTTCGTCACTCTCCGCCAGATCCCTCGCATGGCCCTCGTCGTGCCTCGCTTCGAGGTATGTACCACCACTCATGTCATGCCTTCCCCAATGTTGATCATACGCATAGCTTGTGGCTGATCACTCGTGTTCATGTCTGGGTGTAGGATGAGCACCTGTGCCTCGACGCGCCGGGGATGGACACCCTTCGCATACCGTTGGCCTACTCGGCAGAGCACGACAAGGCCGATCACGAGCAGGTCCGACTGTGGAGCGCGACGGTGCCGGTCGTCGATGAGGGCGCCGAGGCCGCCCAGTGGCTGTCCACCTTCCTGAAGAAGCCGCTCAGGTAGCCGCTCACAGTCTCTCTATCGATGGACGCAGATCACTGACCCTGAGGTGCGCCGCAGGTTGGTGCGAATGACGAAGGACTTCTCCCGACGAGTTGATCCCGACTGGTCAGTGCCGGGCGTGGAGAGCATCACCTCCCTGACCGACTGTCAGCCCTTTCTCGTAGTCTCGCAGGAGTCCCTTGACGGTAAAGCGCCATCACACCTTCCCCACTGCGCGACTGAGCTGTTGGCCACTAACATATATGACGCCAATGCAGATCTTGTGGCGAGGGTCGAACAGATAGCCAGCGAGAACGGCGAAGAGGCTGTACACATCACCATGGACCGCTTCCGCCCCAACATGTACGTCTCTGGCCGCCGGCGGTAAGCGGACGTGCAATGGAATGAGCACAGACCTCATTTTTCCTCGGCCAGTGTGGTCCGCGGAGCAGGGAAGCCGTTCGCTGAGGACTTTTGGCGAAAGCTCAAGATTGGAGGGTCCGTGCTGCACCAACGCACACGCACACGCGTGTAGACTACCACACTTGCTCACTTTCTGGGCATGCCTACAGGGTGGAGTTCCATGTGGCCCAGCCCTGCGACCGCTGCATGCTCCCACGCGTGGACCCGGTCTTGGGCGAGCTCGGCAAGCACGAGCCCACGCGCTCGCTGACCACCTTCCGCACGCGAAACGGGAAGCAGTACTTTGGCCAGTACCTCCTGCACACCAGCTACACCGGTACGAGCACTCATGCTCCTCATACTCCTCTGTGATGGGCTGAGCACTAGAGCTCACAACATTGCGGCGCCTAGGGAGCATCAAGACTGGACAGGAGGTGGAAGTCGTGGAACAAGCGGATGAGTCGAACCTTGACACCTTGTGATTGTTTTTGTGTTTAACAAAAACAAATTATTTCCAGGAAATGATGAAAACATTTTCCTTTATTCCGCATCTAATCTGCAAAGTAAACACAAGAGATGAAGCAGAGCCAAGGTGCCGGCGCATCGGGCTACCTAGGCTGGAGCCTTTACTTCCCGTTTGAGGAGTTCTCGCCTGAGGATATGGCGAGCCGTGCCACCCTCATTGATGGCTTACCTGTCGCCCATTACCACACCTGCCCAAAAGGTGCGCTCCAAGGCGCCAGTGATTAATATTGACTTAATGATGATTTGAGTGCAATGGTAGGAAGCGATTCGACGGATGAGGGGCCTCACGCTCGACTACAGCCTATTGGTGAAGGAGTTGGATGAAAAGACTAAGAGCATCTTCATGCCCGCTCTGCTGGGCGAACCTGAGCTCTGCATTGGCTCGGTTGGCGTTGCCGTCTTTGAGGTGCGCCAACCCTGCGCGACGCGCTGCTCCGCTGGTGTGTGCACACAACATGGGCTGAAGTCGTGACCTGGGGTGTGCAATAGGTCGTCTACCACGGCGTAAGCGAGGAGAAAGTTAGCAAGCACAAGCTCAACATCCGCTTTGCACACTACGACAAAGTAACGGCCATCAAGAAGATCAAGTCCAACTACATCGGTACGGGCGAGCACGTGGCGCTCACACTCGACCAGCACACGCTTACGGCCCACCATCTGTGGTGTGTGTGTGTGTGTGCGTGCGTGCGTCACGCGCAGGCAAGTTCACTTGCGTGCGAGGCACGATCGTGCGGGTAGGCAATATCAAGCCCATCGTGAGGCAAATGGACTTCCACTGTGGTCGCTGCGGCAGCACCATGATGCGCATCTTCGAGGACGGCAAGTTCAGTGCGCCGGAGAAGTGTGCCACCACGCACTGTCGTGGCCGCGCATTCGATCCCGTCCGTGGCTCGGCAGTGACGGTCGACTGGCAAAAGATCAGGTACTCTTCGCCATCTTATCACTCCAGCGGCCAGTTTCAACTGACCGCTCAACACTCACAGAGTGCAAGAGCTGATGGCGACGGGAAACGACGCAGGCCGAGTGCCGCGGACAATCGAGTGCGAGCTCACAGACGACATGGTCGATGCAGGCGTGCCGGGAGACGTGGTCACGGTGGCCGGTATCGTCAAGGTCATGAATCCCGACCTCGAAAAGCCTGGTACGTGCTTCCGCGCAGTGTGTGAGTAGCAGAAAGGCCGTTGAGCTGCGACCCTGACACACTTGCGCGATCTCAATGTCAAAAAAAAAAGGTCGAGGAGCAAAGCAACAGAAAGAGAAGGCGATGTTCGTGATCTATCTCGATGCCAACGTGGTGGAGAACTGCAAGCAGATGGACAAGCTCGAAGCGGTCGACTTTTCCCTGGTCGACCTGCAAATGATCACCGACATCGCCTCGCAGGAGAA